TAGTTTTCTAATTTCTTTATAAAAATACAAAATTATACATCATTAAGTCTCATTTTACCGTAACGAAAAATATGGTGAGGAATCTTTACTCGGATCACTATTTTGAGACGTCGCGTTACCTACTACGCCTTATAACAGGTGCCGAATTTTTTTATAGAATTCAAAATACTCGTCACATACCTTAAAATACCATAAAAATCTAAAATCGGTGTCCAAAACTCATTCCGACCAATTTTGGGGTTCTGGCATGACGACGCCATCGTGTTTTGGTGTCGGCTTCGCCGCCCACGGCGATAGTTCGCCTCGTCCTAGCCGATTTTAGCTAGTTTTTGGCCGTATCCCTGAAGAAAAACACGTTAACGGCCTCGGTTGACTGAAAAATTATAAAAAACCGAACCTACCAGCAGGGGAGACCTTTGGGTGCAGGGGCTCTACCGATCCTCATTCATGACTGAGGTTCTTTTTTCAGCTAACTTGCACAGAAAATGACGATGAATACAATGATCGAAAAATTACGTGAAACGAGAATTGAAAAGAGACTCATCGAAAGAATTTTGGAGTTTTGGCCTCGACGACTCCGTTGGATTTTACCTGTAGTTTTCAGCTCACCCTTCGTCTTTTTTACTCCGATTTGGCCACATGGTGCTCAGAACTGAATTCCGAGCGGGTAAGAGAAATTTTTACTTTTTTTGACTGTTAGTGGTGGATCCAATGCGGCGGCGATCTGTGATCGGCCCCCTTCTCTGGCGTCTGATTTTTCTTTTTTAGTGAGGACTGGCGGCTAGGATTTGGGTCCCCGTGTGGTACGAGATATTTATATCCATCCCACATTAATCTGAACTGTCCATCACGATCGATTTTATCCATTCGATCGCACCTAAGAAAAAAATAAATTTAGGCCGTCTATCGTAATTTGATCTCGATCGTCCGATCACGTTTAAAGGGAAAACAAATCGGAGTCGTTCACGCAAGTGGGATCATCTTGGACCATCCGATCACGAGGCACACGGATCGCCCACGTGGCACCAACGTCAGCATGTTTTACCACACGGCATGCTCTGGTTCGTCAGGACTGCTAACTGGGCGGTCATATATGGCAAAAAATTTTTTATTTATACTTTGACCATCTGTTTTTAATTTTTCTTTCAAAAATAACTTCTGAACCCAAATTTTCACCTATTTTTTTAAAATTATTTTCGATAACATCTCTAACCTATTTTTTCCAATAAATTCAACAAAAATTAAATTAAATTAATTTTTAAATATTTTTTTTTATTTTTAAATGCTAAAATTGATCTTTATTCAAATTCTGGAACCGGATATTACATATCTGATATTCATCCTTTCAATCCCTTTTCCTAATAAGAGGACACTGGTGTTTCATCGTACAACATCGTCACATCATTATCATGAGGGAATAAAATAAATATTTTCATAATATGTGAACACAAATCACATATATATACATATCCACCAAAGAACACTACGAGATACTACCAACAGACAGGGTTCTAATTCGACTATAATGATCACACACACACTTACCCCTTTGTTCACCTAGTATATACAACATAACATACAACATCACCTCTATATGGATTTACCAATGAGAACTGTACGATACTACCAATAGACTGTGCTTTAACTCGACCATAATGGTCACACACCCACACTTGCCCTTCAACGACCATTTCAAGGCTACACATACTGTTCCACTACACTGGCACTCACCGGCCACCTCAAGGCCACACACACACTGTTCCACCATCATTGGCACCCACTAGCCATCACATGACCACCCACTCACCCCATTTCGCCACTCCTGGCAACTGACGATCGAATGGCCACTCATACATACACACACAGCTTTTATCAACACACCACGATAACCGACCATCGAATGGCCACTCACACGCTCACATACCGCCCTTACCAATCCACTAGAACACACACTCCCTCAAAATCTGATGATGACACCCACCAGTAATCACACGACCACACACTCACCTCACTTCGCCACTCTTGGCAATTGACCATTGAATAATAACTCATACACACACAAAACCCTTATTAACACACCATGACAACTGCCCATCGAATGGCCACTCACACACCGCCCTTACCAATCAACCAGAACACACACTCCCTCAAAATCTGATGATCGCACCCACCGACCATCACACGACTACACGCACCCCCCTTCCTCAATGATAATTGGCTAAATGGTACGTTCATCGACACCTAACATGTGGGTAACCATAAATTAACATTGGTCTCCCTTCACTTCCCCTTTTGACTAATTATGCATTTGCCTTTTCTTTTAATAATATTTTTAATTTATTTTAATTCTGTGTCAATGCCTTTTACCACTACTATAATTCTAATTCTAAAGCCTCCCTGTCTATATGTACCATTTTGTTAAATCTTATTTTACTTTTTCTATTTTAATTTTATGTAGTTTTACGTCATTAAATTTTCTCTTCTCTTTTACAAGTTTTCCTTTTCTTTCTGATTTTGGGGTTTAATGTTTGCTGATTCAGTACACTTTCTTTAATTCTTCTATAATTTATACATTTCCACATCTACTTTGGTTGGCGTTTAGACTCTTACCAGATTCCTTTAATGAAGCCCATGAGTTCTACTTCCTATATTTGTCTCTACTTATTAGTGTGTAAGGGGAAGCTTGGCTCATTAATATCCCTTTTATTTATTTAGGCCCATCACTTTTATTGTTTTCCTTTGTTTTAATTTCATTGTTGTTTATGTTCATGATCCTTAACATTATTATTATTGTTGTTTGGTTTTATATATACATATATTTATCTCTGCGATGCTATTTCTTATATGTCTATATGTATTTTCCATTCCAAGCCTTACATGTTCGATACAATAAATTCCTCTTCCATTGGGCCTCTGGTCAGTGACTCATTGCCCATTTGTCAATTAAAACCTGAGCTGAGTCAGAATCAGATTTGGGTTTAACTATTGGGTTCTTTAGTTTAGCCCATTTACTCATTTTCTTGCTTTCAATTTTATTTTTCCAATTTCTATTCGCTGTTTAAAGGTTTTGGGTTCTACTTGGGTGACTTATCATTTAATCAGTTGGGCCTTTCAAATTCGGCCCATTCATTTCTAAAGGGTTTAGGCTTACAGCTGATAAGTCCTTACTATTCCAGGTTTGGACCTATTTGCGATTTGAGTAAGGCCCAATAGGATGTCCAGACTCGTGCCACTTGAGCTGTGCATCTTCCCTACCAACTCCTAACCCTAGATTCACTGATATCACGACAACCTTTTAAATCTCGTATCATTTTGAGTATTTACAATATGCATTACATTCAAATATACCAATATTTAATCATTGCATTTCAGTAGTTTTAGATTAATTACAATAGACTAAACACATGATTTGTTTGTATTTAATCGCAATTAGATTAAAAAGTTAAACAAATCTTACCCTTACTGGATTGCGGTGATGAAAATTGATTCACAACAGTATCTCTGTCTTCCTGAGCTGCACAAATACACACACATAATACTTTTTGTTTGTCGCAACACTCAAATTAGTGTCGAAAATGCTTCTGTTAAGTCTTGTGAAGTCAAAATGGAAAAATGTGTTTATTGAGCTTACCTGTTAAAGTGAATGCACACCAAAAGCTGAATTTAACTCTCAGTTTTCAGTCCTCCACCATATTTCGTCCACTTCAGCCTCCTAAACCACGTATTCTTCTCTCCATGGTGAACGATTTTCCCTATCCTAGGGTTTTTGTTATGGGAAAGAATATCATTTATATGGGGTGAAGTGAATGAAAGCCATTGGATCTAGGGATAGTCCCACAGCTGTTCGATTTATGTCTCTTATTAAGGGTAACTTGGATATTTCTTGGGCGTTACATCAATTACACCATCATCCTCACTTCAAAAATATAGTCCTAACTCCCTCAAGCTTATATTTATCTTTTCTTCCTTCTTTAAATGTGTTACCTCATTAAATAATTTTCTATATAAAGCTCCTATCTTTTTCTTCTTTTATTAACACCTCATTTACTTTTTATTCGAAGAAAGCCTTGAGAAAAGAAAATTGAAATTCTCATTATTTAACATTATATGATCTGTTTATACATAATAATTAAGACGAGAAAACCTTTATATTTTTTTTCCTAATTAATATTTTTTTACAATTTTAAAATTAAATACGATTTAAAAATCACCAAGATATGACTAAATCACCATATTATTACATATTAACTTACTCTTTACAATCAAATATATCATTTTTTATGTTAACCTCCTCCATATCTTTTTAATTTACATGTTAGAAAATATTTTATAACTTACGAAAAAATATAATTTGTGGACTGTTCTCTTAATTTATTTCTCTTTAAGCTTTTGATTTTTTTTATACTTCTTTGTACAAAAATATATACATTTTAAAATAAATAATTGGCCGATCGAATAAATAAATTTTATTTGTGATATATTATTTAATATGCAACTCTCCTTACTATTGAGAGCATTTTTTGAAAATCTATAAAAAAAGAGTTTTATGATAAATGTGTGAATCTTGGTTAATTTTTCGATTAATTAGACAGTCGAATCTCACATAATAACTTAATTAGTTAGTAAAAAATAAAATTTTAAAATTTAAAATTTAAAAGAACTTACAGAAACTATTCTAAAAATTATAGCCAAAATGAAGGATCAAAGATGTAAATAAGACCAAAATAAATATTTGGATGGAGATGTTATAGAATTGACCGTTACCATTCTTACACCCGCTCCCCTATTCCGTTAACAAAAGTGCTCGGCCAACAGGCCTGGCTCCATCTTCAGTTGTGCAGGTAGTCCTGCTGCCCGTGCTCAGCTTCAAACTCAATCTTCCTTGTCTTTCCATTTCTGAGCACACTTGATTTCGACTTCAGTACAATCGGTACTGCTGGAAAAATAAAACCTGAATCACACAGTCCTTCATTGCTCAACGGGACAAAGAACCTATTTAATGTTCAATTGAGGTTGTGAGATTCGTAAACAGCTGATCTAGAAATGACTGGGGGTGGAAGGAGAAGTGCCCGAAGCAGAGTGAAATCCTCGGCAGATGATAACGAAGACAATCTCCGTCGGGCGAAACCTAATCTGAAATACCGGAGAGATAGGAGCAAAGACAGCACGTTACTTCGTATCTTCAACGCTAATCTCAGTATTATGATCGGTTTAAGTATCTTAGCGCTGTTAATAATCTATTTCGTTATCAGCCATGTCGTGAACCCCGTTGAAGAAGCTCAGAGACCTAGGGTTGTTACCCCTTTCCCAGCTCCAAAGCTCATGGACCTGCCTATGGTAGGCAAAGTGTACTATGTTCTATCATTTTGTTATGCTACTTTTTAATAGATTACAAGATGCGTATGTGTTTATCTAAGAATGTTTATGAAGACTGCGGAGGTACATTTGATTTCATTACGGATATGAATTATTACAGTTTCAAGGTGAGCACAAAGAGAGCTTATACTGGGGAACATACCGTCCTAATGTTTATCTTGGAAATTCGGGCGAGGTATGTCCTTCTTAGTAGCTAAGATATTGCTATTTTTTTCTCTGTTTGATGACATTTATGATGTTTTACATTACGATTTACAGTTTGACATTATAATTTATACAATGATGGGTTAAAAATTAGGAGGATAATGGATAACCAAAATTGAAAA